AAGTTTCACTGAAACTATTAACTGACTCTCTTGGCTGCAAGAACAAAACTGGTGCCAGCAGGGAAGGGATGCAGAATGATCATGCAGATTTTATTTTAAAAACAAGATAAAATCATTTGGAGGAATTTCCAGCACTACATTTATCGAAACTTGAATGTAAATAGCTTCAACATGTCTGCCAACCTGGTGCTTCAATGAAAGCTAAAAAAATAAAAAAAAAAAAAAAAAAAAAAATTGATTGCCTAGTTTTTGGATTTGCAAGTAACAAAGCATTGTCTAGTTTCATTCATGGGAGTATGTTTCTCTGCTGATTTTGTGAACTATCACATCTTATCCCATTGATTCCCAAGTGCAGCAGTCTGTGCTAGAAACCAGCAGTTAGTAACCAGAAATTAACCTGTAAATGCTAGCTCTAAAACAGATGAGAACGGTCTATCTTGCTGTCTATCTAGAAAGCCTAGTCTATAGAGCTTTTATTTGAATGCATCTGAGACAACTCTATGCAAGAAAGGCAGAGCACAGCCAAGGCGGATAGACAGGGAGCTCTACACGGCCCAATTTATACCAAATGGCCTGAGATCTGGACTGCCCATCCTGTGACACCCATTGTACTTGTGTTACTACTTCAAACTGCAGCCCAGCAAAGGAGCCCATGCTAGAACAAGTGAAGCCTTACAAATACCAGCAAGTAGGAGTTATTTTAGATCTGTTGTACCAGCAACTGGAAGTCAATGTCAGCATTCACTTACCTTGAATGCATTTCAGTTAAACTCTAGATTAAAATGCCTGATCAAGAGAAGAATCGGATCTTGAAAAAAGGAAAAGCAAGACCTGATCCATTACTATAGCTAAAAAGTGACAACAACGAGAGAGACACAGTTTGGGAAGACCCCAACAAACTGCAATGCTACAGGTGACTCTTGTCAGCGATGCTAGAGAAAGGCAAACAAATGGTGAGAGGAGCTGCGTACTTGAAGGGAGGTGAGACAGGGTGGTGGACTATTAAATTTTGTTACATGCAGGGAGAGATCCTGCAGCGAGCTCAGCCCCTCCTGGGAAACGAGCCCTCCACTTTCTTAGATGTGAAGAGCACTGAGTACATCCCTAGTGTCACTCAAGACCAAAAGGATTTAGGCATTAAATACTTTTTAAAATACTTCTTAGGCTTTTAGCCATGGTGTCTCACAGGAGCAGTCTTTGAAATTTTGCCTGAGTGTAAAAGCAATCTCTTTCCTATCTTTGCTGCTTGTCAACTTTTAGAGCCAGCAACACTTACAAGCATCAGATCTGACCTCCTGTGCAATACAGCCGCGTGCTGCTAATTCTTTTTACTTTGTGCCCCGCATTGATGGTCACATCTCCTTGCATGCTATGCCTGTGGACTAGCTCTAGCATTTCAACGAAGCAGCTGAGCAGACTGGAAATTCCTTCCGTCCAGCTCTCCCATGCATGGCTGAACTACGACTAAGGTAGTTCCTTTTTCTGTGATGTTTGATTTTCTTCCTTTTTAATTCCCTCTTTCTTTTTTCCCCACTGTGGCTGTTAACACCAACTTCTTGTGTAATGGGGCACTTTTAAACCATCCCCACTGGAAAAACTGCATCTCCAACCAGAGCGAAAGTCCAGGTCTGAGACACTATGGGAATGCAGGTGGATGGCTCCAATTCACCTTACCACGAGAACAGTGTCGGGCTGTTATTTGGAGCAAAGCAAAACAGATGTCACCAGCGTATGAATTACAGGGATGATGGTAAATGTTTTTGCATTTAGTTTCCATTCATATACATTTGGCTCAATGAGAAACAGAAGCCTGTGGTCTAGAAGGAGGGCTCCAACCTGAGGCTCCAGCTAATAGCGCTTACCCCTTGGTGGAACGGCAGCGGAGGCTACAGTAGTGGCAGGAGACATGCTAACATGAGCTCATTATGTTTTTCTAGCCAGAGCTCACGCCTGGATAGCCGGTGGGTTATCACAACAAAGCGAGGCTGTCAGCTCTCGGCACACTGGGGCAATGCGGCAGGGCAGAGCCGCCCCAGGCGAGCAGACTCGCCGCCGTCTGCCTAGGGGCTCCTTCAGGATGCAGGGGCCGCCCGCGCAGGTCTCCCTGCCCCATCGCAGTGGGTACATCTGCGTGTGAGGCAGAGAAGAAAGAGAAAGAGGGATGTCTTTTTATCTGAGCCTTCAATGCTGACTCAGGATGATTCATCTGAGGTTTAGTGTGCTTTGGGGAGAAATGAAATGAAAGATCTCCTGCATCTTTGCAGTGAGGCAAAGCCCAATCTAGTTTATTCTAAACATGCAGTGATTAATAGGCTGGTTATTAGTTCAGGTACAGAAAATAATGGTGTCCTTTGACAGGAGACTCCTGCCACTGACCTCTCCATTTAGCCTCTGTTTTTTCTGATTTCACCTTAATTGGGATCAGCAAAGAGATACAGCCAAAGCAGAGCTTCAGGTTGAATGTCACAAAGCAGCTGACAGCTTGCTCATCTGTATCAACACGCAGACACAACAGTTAAATTGTTAAAATGAATACAGTTTTCCATTTACATAGAAATACCCATTTGAAGTCCCAAATTTATTGGTAGCACTTGATGGGGTTAGGATCTCATAAATTTTGACTGTATAATAAATAAAACGCTTTGTGGGAATTACAGCACGCCACTCCTCTACGTCCCCACACACATCTCACGAAGGCAGCGGGCAGCCCAGGAGCTCAGCAGGAGCAGCTCTTGGCACGTCCCTCCCACTTCTGCCCCACCAACTGGGACTGGGGGAGCGTGCACCCTGCCCAGTACCTCGGCAAGCTGGTTGACCCTCCTGCCGTGTAAATGGGATTCATTCCTCCATTAAAAAAAAAAAAAATTATACCAAAAATCGATCTGAAAGAAATCCTGTAAGCTGAACCCAGGACAGAATAACGACACTCATTTATGACCATCCAGCAGGTAAAGCAACATGCCATTTGCTAAACGTCTTGGAGGATACGTTTGTCACTCAGTTTGAATTTATCCACACTCAGAATAACGCCTCTTGAGCCGAGCTTGAGTATGAATAACCAGGCTACGAAATAGCCCTGAAAATGCACAGAATACAAGACTTGCTTTCGCAACAGATCTGTTGCTCTACCTTGAGCTATTGGTTAAGGTTTGGCCACATTAAAATTAAGATGAAGGGAGTAACACAGCAGTGAAGGTGTGCAGTGTGAAAATAGATCTGACTGAAGAGTGGCACTGAAGCTACAACATACTTCAGCAAAGATAAGCCTGGAGAAGCCTTCAGGTATTAGAAACACAGACCAAGCCAGCTAGGTATGTAAGGGTAACTTTAAGGATAAGAAGACTCACTGACCTCAGTAAAATTGCCCAGCTACATTAGGATGTGTGCTCATAAAAGTATGTGTTGACCAGGACAGAAACCTTAAGAGGTCTGGTTTTGCTTAAGTACTGTATATTTTGGAGTGTTCCCCTTAGATTGCTTTCCAAGCACACATTCCAGACTGAGCATCTTTTCTGTGAAAAAAGTAAAGGCAAAAAGTATAAATGCAAAATCTTCATGAAAAGAAGTGTGACGCATATCTCTTCAAAGCAGGATACATCTGAATGGGATGCAAAACAACCGCTGTTCTAGAAATTTCAAGGTGTTTCAAACAGAAAATGAAACTGTAACTTGATATATCATAATTTCGGAAGTTTATAGTGTGTGCTCAAAGGCAGGATGTGGAGCCAAAGCTATTCCCCACTGCACTTAATGTTACAGGAGGTAAAATTGCCTTTCTGTACAGGACCTGTTGTTC